ATATTATATATGAAAATCACCTATCTCGACTAGACGAAGCCATCCAAATTGACATATTTTTGAAATTACATCAGTATCACCAACTTTTGGTAGAAATCCAAAAATAATCAATATTTTATTTTTCAGTAATAAAGCTTGAGTCTATTTAGGTTAAAAAACAAAGTTACTTTTTGATGCATGTTGGACTAATTTGTTTCCTTTATTATAGGGAGTCGTTTTTAGGGTAATACTTGATACTTTGTATTTCTGTGTAATTCTAGTCTTATTAAAAGTCTATTTTATTATTATATTTAAGAAGAGACATGTAACCCAGAAATTATTAGATCACTTTTATCAATAAAAGTCCTCTTTATTAGATTCACTTGGTGGATTCAAAATTCTTCGTGAATTCAAAATATTGTTCTTTGTGGATTCAAAAAATAACCCTTAGTGGATTCTGAGGTTTATTATTTTCCTGTTGCATTACTTTCAACATTATAGCCTTTAGATAGGTTGTTGAGATTGATCACGGTATTATCCAGGATCGAATTTGTCCTTGGTACTAAGAACAATCATTTTCTCATGCGCGAGTATGTGTGTATTGAAAGTACCCTAGAGGGGGGTGAATAGGGTTTATGCTAATCTAATCTGGTTTTATGCCGATTAAAAACTTATTAGCAATACATCCTAGCAAATTAGATATACTACAAGATATATATGCAAGGATATGAAACTAAGGGTGATATAAACAAACAAGATAGTGGGAATATAAACAATGAGCAATTGACAAAGGCGATATAAGATGAACACAAAAATAAGTGCGTCAATGCAAACTCAAACAAGCGATATGATCACGGAGTTCGGTCCCCACGACCTACGTCTCTACTCCCCACCTCCAGGAGATCCTCACTATCACAACCGGGTTTTCTACGCTCACCCGAATAACGTTTACACCTCACACTCGGTTTTCTAGCTCACCAAAAACTTTACAATCAACACTCTTGCAATCACACTCTACACTCTCTAAGTGTTGGTCTCTAGCCCGTGTTTCCCTCAAGTGCTCGGAATTACGACCTACATCTAGGTTTTACTACCGACGTCACTCCTCTTGGGACAACCCTGTCTCTCACCACACACTCCACCCGGTGTACAAGTGTATTACAAAGTGTGTCTCACAATGAGGCTCTCTACAACAAATGTTTGTTCTCTAATTTGGATGAGAACACAATTAAGCTCACTCTCGATGTTACAATCTCTCACAATCCTAAATATACTATGTATAAAAATACTAAAGCTCAAGTGGGTGGGTGTAACAAAGAGTATAATCAAAATAAACTAAACTCAAAATAAATTCTAGCTTATGAAATAAAAATCAAACATATAAAATAGCTAGATTGAGTTTAGGAAAACTTCTCTATAGATCAAGAGAGAGAGGGAGAAGAGTTGAATGCTCAAACACAATTGATGATCTTCCTCAAGCTCTTGTGAAAATTTTTCACAAACCAAATTCTTAAACACACTTTTAAAACTCTTAAACAAACTTGTAAAACTTTTTAAAATTTTTCTCTTAGATAATAATAGAGCTGGGTATAAGGGGGTATATATAGGAAACCCTAAAGATCAAGAAAACCCAACAAAAAGACCAAAAAATCAAAACAGTACAAAGTCTGGAAATATAGTCGTTGGATCCATCAGTCGACTGATACTGTTCATCAGTCGACTAATAATGTTCATCAGTCGACTGATGAGCTGATCGTTACAGGCAGCTAGCTGCTTATCAGTCGACTGATGACCTTATCAGTCGACTGAAGGTCATCAGTCGACTGATCAGTCGACCAACATGAAAACAGATAGTTTTTACAATTCCGGGTGATTTCTTCAGTCGACTGAACCCATGTATTAGTCGACTGATAACACTTTATCAGTCTGTTTTGAGTAGTAAAACTGATTTTTGAAGTGCCTTTAAAAATAGCAAATAAATTTAGAAAAATATAAAACTTTAGAAAATAATTGTAGACATGATAATAAACATGTTACAGAAAGAATTTTTCAAATTACATTCTCCATTTGTAAAAACTCATAATTTTTCAAAATAGTCCAAAACATTAAAATGAACAACACTTGTTTTTGTCAAAATGACTAAACCATGTTTTGAAACTTTATAACATGATTATATAGACTTGATAAAAGATATAAACTATTGTTGTTAAGTCTATAAACCAAAAACACAATACTTTTGCAAATACAATAGAATATGAAACAAATGAGATGTGTATAAATAAAAATCTTGTTTCAAATCTATAATACCAAAACAACTTATCCACATGTATAAACAATTTTTGGAATTTATTTGTAAAAACTTTGTTTGTGAATAAAACCAAAATGTGTATATATATAACTATATATATATATGCATAGAAACCAATAAAATGTGTGTGTATATGATATTGAGCTTGAAGTATTAAACACACATAATATAAACTTATACTAAATATACCCAAGCTTGATGAAGGTCTTCAATGAGCACGACTTGGTAAACTTACGGATGAAGCTTGAACTTGAATCTTTAACTTGAATTGCATTGCTTCACTCCACTATTCTGCCAACCTCCATTGGATATGATCGTTGAACCTCAATTCCATCCAACCTCTGACATATTGTTTGTCTACAATAAATAGGAAAACACAAACACTAGACAAACACCATTAGTAAGTAAATTGTTTGTTAAACATCATCAAAACAAAAAGGCCAACATGTATATGTGTGTGTGTAGACGGTAAAAAATACCTCTATGGGTCTACAGGGAATTTGTCTACGAGAAGAGTTCGCACGC